AGCGTGCCAAGGCCCTTTAGGCTTCGTGCCTCCGGGCGAAATAAATTCCATCCATCCATCCATCCATCCACTGGATGAACCACCACCATTGGTGATCACCATCTTCTGTTGTCTCTGGATCTCCATCACCTTCTACACGAGCAGTTTCGGTAACGGCGCCAATGATGTGGCCAACTCATACGCCACGTCCGTGGCCGCGCGGGCCTTGACTATGCCCCAAGTCGGCTTCCTCTCAATGATAACCGAGTTCGTCGGCGCCGTGGGGTTGGGATCGCACGTGACGGGCACCATCAAGGACGACATCATTGACACAACACGCTTCGAGACAACGCCCGAGGTGCTCCTGCTGGCCATGGCCTGCGCCGAGTTTGGTAGTGCCTTCTGGTTCATCTTGGCCACCCGCATGGGCTTCCCCGTGTCGACCACCCAGACCGTCGTTGGCGCTCTCGTGGGCGTCGGCATCGCCGCTCAGGCCCAGGTTCAGTGGGCGTGGGAGGACGGCAGCGTCTCGCAGATTGCCGCCTCATGGGGTATCGCACCCCTTCTCGCCGCCGCCTTCTCGGCCATTCTTTTTACGACGCTCAAATTCTGTATTCTTGAACGCGAGGATCCTCTCACCGAGGCCCTCCGCGCTATCCCCTTCTAACTGGCCTTTACAGGCGGCGTCCTGGCGCTGTTCATCACCATCGAGGCGTCCGGGATCGGCCTCGACGAGCTTGGGCCCGGCAGAGCCGTTGGCATTGTGCTGGGCACCTTTGGCGGCTGCCTCCTGGTTGGCTATGTATTTCTTCATGCCCTACTTCCACCGTCGTCTGGTCAAGCAGGACGCGCGGCTCCGGGTGTGGCACCTGCCCATCTACCACCCGCGTCGGCTCTGGGGTTTTGTCAAGTACTTCTTCCTGCAGGGCGTGAAGCGCGACTGGGTTGACGTAATCTTCGCTCGAGCTGGCCAAGGTGCACGCGCGCGCCAAGCGCTACGACAACCGGGTCGAGCACCTGTGGACCTACGCCCAGGTCGCCAGCGCCATGATGATGTCCATCGCCCACGGCTCCAACGACGTCGCCAACGCCGTCGGTCCGTGGGTGGCCGCGTACGACGTCTGGCGGCGCGGTATTGTCGAGGAGGACGTCAGCACGACCGTCTGGATCCTGAGTATCGCCGGTTTTCTGCTCGGTGCCGGCGTCTGGTTCTTTGGCTACCACATCATCCGCTCGCTGGGCAATAAAATCACGCAGCTCAGTCCCACGCGCGGCTACGCCATGGAATTGGACGCCGCCATCACAGTGCTGCTTGCGAGCCGCCTGGGCCTCCCTGTCAGTACGACGCTGTGTCTGACAGGTGCTTTGTTTGATGTCGCGCTCATAAACCTCGACTTTGGCTCCGTCAATTGGCGCCAGCTGGGCTTCATCTACATCGGCTGGGTCCTGACCCTCCCCACGGCCGGTCGGATTGCAGGTTTGCTCATGGCCATGTCGCTCAATACGCCTCACTTTGCTTAAGTCCTGTTTTGAGAGATACATATAGAAGGACTGTTAGTAATGGAAAGACTAGTGCAGGTTTCCCGTGAAACAACCGTTCGGTCTGCGCGTTGGGCAATAGAAGAGACTCTCAAAACCTTTGTCAGTAGACTACCTTTCTTTGGCTATTCCACTACTCTCTCTCTACACTCAATAGCCCTTCCTGCACCTGGCGCAGAGCGTATCGTGCTTCGAATCCTCTCAGGTGCGACTTCCTCTCCTCTTTGGGCATGACAGCCACTGGACTCAGGTTTTCCAGCAAGCGCCGACTCCTGCAAACATAAGTGAGCCTCGCCGCTGTTGTGTCTGGGTTCCTCGCCAGGTATGGATAACCCGATAGCCAATTCCGGTGTGTGGCAGCAATGAAGACAAGTTTAATAAAACAAACAGTCAAAGCTTCGGACCTTTCGCGCCTTTTAGGATAGCCAACTGAAGTTCTCCTGGGGTGAGTGATCTCCATCTCGCTCTTTCTCGAAACCGACCTCTTCTGCTTTGGTCTCACAGCCTCAATGAGCCAGGGGACGGCGTATAACGCCAACGCTATTTGGGATTGTCTACTGGATCGTCCCGGCACTCTGGTGGCGTAGTCCCGTTCCAGCAGAGCCCACGCTTCTGCGGCTTGTGTGTCTGGAGTCTGGAGCGGCCGGCATGGCGCCAACGCTTTCGTTTGTTCCTCGACGACTGCCCAGAGTGTCTTGATCGTGGCCACGACCGTGAGCTCCAGGATACCGTTATCCGCCTTCGCACCACAAACTGTCTCCCGGAACCCACTCGGGGTGCTCGTCAGGGGCTTCTCGGTACCGCCTACTACTAGGGTGACGTCGATGAGAACGAATTTCCGATCTGGCTCAGGCCAAATCGAGTAACGCATGATCTAGTGGTGCATCCCGGTCCGATTGCCTATTGTCCATTTCCGGAGTTTGACGCCGATATTCTTGGGAGCCTCGAGCCTCCTGGCGGTCCGCGTGGACATGAACTGGCTACCTGTATGCTCGGTTGGCAAAGGCCGAAACCTGAAGCCGTAGAAAGTACATACACTTGGATTGTCTTGGCCGGCTTTCAGGTCGACAACAGTTTGCTCCAGGATGTACTTGGCATGCTCGTCATCAGAACCACCTCCAGCAGCCATCATGACGGAAATCTTGTCAAGAAGGGCCGGATGGATACTGGTCACGCCGGCGAGAGCAGCAAGGAACCTTCATATCATGACGGAGGCCTGACCGACGCCGAATCGTCACTCAGAAGAGGAGGGATCTTGAGAGCGTTGCCGCTCACCGCACACAGGATGGCCTCCTGTGCCCGAGCAAGTGTTGGATCAATGTACACTACAATGCGATGGGAACCCCTCGTTCTGCAGCTCTGCCAAATTGTCCCAAGACACGCCATCTTCTCTTGGTGAACAATTTCGTGATAGGGCAGTCACCGTCTTGGGGCTCGTTGTTGAAATAGAAGCCCTGCCGGGTAAGGGGCTCAAACGAAGCGCCGTGCCAGGGAACGTATCCGACCCCTATCATCTGTGACTGAAGCTGGAAGATCTGCGACTGCAGGATGGGCGTGACGAAGCCCACAGGAGGGCGTGGGTGATGGAAGAGAGGAAATCAACTAGCTCAGCCATTGGAGCGCCTGTACTGGTGCTGGGATGGGCGGGATGCTATTGTAGTCGGCAAGGATGGTGCGATCACCGCGGGCACCCGTTCGTCTGGATGCTTAGAAAAAAAGCTTGATGCGCTTTGCTTTGTTGTCGACAATTTTCCAGAAAAAGGCGTAGAGCACGGCGAGGAGCGCGGGCAAGTGCAACCAAGCGAACATTGCCGCGGACGAAAGCTCGTCAGGCAGAAGGGAAGTGAGGATTCCGGTCTTGTTTATCCGAGATGTTTTCGAACGTTGAGCTCGGAGACGGATAAGCTGCTTATGTTGGGCGTGCAACTCGAACAGGAACCTGGCCACGCTGCTGTTTTCCGCAGTACCAACTCGGCCACTCGGTCCTCAGATCCTCATTGACGTACGGCCTGCGAGCTGCTGAGGATTGTTCGGCCATTTCTTTGTGAGTAATTGCAGTTACTATGCCTGATCTCCAACGTGATGCCCAAGACAGGAGTAGCGCCCCTAAACGGTCGTACCAATGGTGGTACTGGCCAGATGACAGGCCATACTGTGAAAGACGGGGTGGTGATGGAGCCCGAGATTGCACCTTATTGTATTTTACAGTACCACCCAATTACAGGTAGTTGTCCACAAGGACTAGACTTTGCCGTTGCTGTTGATCTCGGGAGGACAACGTAAACGTGCAGAGACAGAGTTCGCAGGTACCGATGGAGTGGGCGTAGCGGAAGGGCCGGAGCCATGGCTAAGGTACGTACATAGGTAACAAACAAAACGGCAAAATAGATAATAAGAGGCGTCCGGTGATAAGGCATTTCATGCGTGACCTTTTAACACGAGCCCGGTCCGCTCGCCTTCGTTGATGGCGTATCACGCGAACAAACCTTGCAGACTCCCACCCTCCATCGCTGGGACAGGTGGGGACGGTAATGGTGGGCAAGGCCTTGCATGGGATGGTTCGATCTGGCCTAGTATCCACAGGCTAAAGACACAAACCTAGATTCAAGGCATCGGCCATTGTCCTCGTGATGGAAAGGTGCTGCTGAGCCTTGTTTAGAAATTGGTAGGTTGCGGTGAGGGACCTAATTCGGTAGTTGCAGACCATGGAGTGTCCCGAATGACAGAAAAGGTCGAGTTCAGGGTAGGTGGATGCCAGTATTGTTATGCAACTATGCATGGCTATGGCGTTCGTTAGCGTGGCACATGGCAGGGCAGTTGAGATGCATGAGATAAAGAAACCAAGGAACAGAGGAAAACGGGGAAAAGATAAAATTATGGAATATAAAGACGAAAAGAAAAAGAAGAGGAAATAGAAGAACATAACTAATGAGCAAGGAGAAGAGGAAAGAGGGGAAGAAAAAAGTGAAAAAGGTTATCCACAGTAAAGTGAAAGAAACCGCGGTGTAATGCTAATATTCCACGCTACAAACAAACCAGGGTTGAATTGTAACATGTACATACCAGATTGGCCACTTCACTGCAAGTATCCGCAGCTGGCTCAAGTCAGATATTTTGCCGCGGCACCCTGTGATGGTCAAGTCTCGTCTGATGGTGCGAATGTTGGATCGCAAACCCAAGGCGGATTCACCGGCTCGAGGAACCCGACTCCCACCCTGCCCACACCATCCACAGCGGTCTTCAAGCAATTAATTGATCTTGATGTGCTGCCGCCGCTCCCGTCTGCTCGTTCCCTTCTTATTGGCTGACATTAGCATCTGCATTCACCGTTATTGGTTCTAAAGTGTAACTTCCTTTCCATTCTCTCATCCTGCTCCGAACTCTGGTTTGCCGGTGGTTGGAAGGCTTGTGGAACTGCTCTTAGCCGACGTGAGCTCTGGTACCAAGGTGGCCCGGGCGCCTTCTGCCCCTCACCAGTCATCACTTGCCTCACGCAAATCGGGCCGCCCCTCCTCTGGCGCTGGCCGAACCCTTCCATCCGCGCGGAACCGATCAAACACGCACAACCTAACCAACTCTTCCCCCGAACCACCACGATGGCCACTTCCCATCCGAGCGACCATCGGCATATGCGCAGCGGAAGCCTCAACATTCCGCCTCAAGGTGGTCGCCTTGGTGGGATGATGGGTGTTGTGCCAGGCGCTCGCTTTGACGGGCCCCGAAGTCCGCCAAGTAAGTTGCGCCCATTCTCGTTTCCCTCTTTGGTCCTCAAGCACACGACACACGACATCAACGTACCATCGCAAACCCATAGCAATACCCAACATGCCGCCGTGCCGTGGTACCATGTCTGCCCTTAGCTCCTGTGCTAACCCGAGTTCCTGCTGTTTGGCCAGACACGTCGCATGTGCCATGCAAATTCTTCCGACAAGGCGCCTGCCAGGCAGGCAATGCGTGTCCCTTCAGCCATGACCTCAGCGCCGCCTCCGAGACGGTGTGCAAGTATTTCGCCAAGGTGCGTCGTGCCCGAGTCCGCCCGCTTCCTCCTGCCCCTGATGGCCTCGCAGTTTTCAGGAACCAGTCGTACTAACTCATGGTGTCATACTGAGTACAGGGCAATTGCAAGTTTGGCCCGAAATGCGCAAACATCCACGTGCTGCCTGACGGGCGTCGAATCAACTACGGCAAGAACGGTGTCACGATCGGAGCGCCTCCAGGAGTCGCCCTCGGGGTTCGCGTGAATCCGGCGACCTACCATCAACCGTCCAACAGCGCGCTGACCAACTCTTTTATGCGCGCCGACCAGGTGCCCGGATACGCCAACCCGGCTCCATATGGTGCACAAGATGACCTCTACAGCCACCAGTTGGCGCCCCAGCAGGGCGTGGAGCAAGTCCTTCCCGTAATCGACACCACGTACAGCTCCAACCCGGCCTCTGTCTACGGTTCCCCACGCGACGAGGACGCAAGTCGCCTCGGCCTCGGCCTGTCGCCCGTGAACACGAAGGGTCTCTCGGTCCTCGACGCCCCGCTTCCTGCTTCCTTCGACAGCAACGGCATATCACTCGCCGCGCGGTACGGTCCATGGCCAGCCTCGGTGCCGTCGAAATTCGGCCTCGAGTCCCCCTCACCGTCCCTCCACTCCGCTCGAGACGCCCGCACGTCCGAAACGCTCAAGCTCCTGCACACGTCGGCGTTCGGCAGCAGCGAGCACCTCTCGCCCTCGGCCATTGCCGCAAGCGATACCAACGGCTTCGGCAGCAGTCCACCCGTCGGCTCCGCCACCATGGCTTCGGTGCTGTGGAGCGAGGAGTACTTTGGGAAGCGCTTCATGCACAGCAGCTCGTTGCGCTACGCCAAACCGCGGCTGATCAGCAGCAGCGTGCCAAAGATTGATCGGGATTGGGAGGCCGAGTTTATGTTTGAGGAGGACTATGTCCCGGGCGCTCTGGCAAACGAGGTCCTGACGCCGGCGGAGAAGGCCAGAAGGGGGTCCAATACTAACACGGTGCGCATGACGGAGCCCATAGAGCCGACCGTGGAGTCTGTGCCTGTTAGCCAGACAAAATTCGGCAGCCCAACCATGTCGGCGAGCCCGAGTCGATGGGGGCCCCTCTTTCAGCGCCAGAAAGACGACGAGTTTGACGCCGGCGGATCTGCTCGCCCGATGAAGCATGTCTCGCAGTTTGGGCACGTGGGGAGTCCGCTGAGGAACTCAAGCCTGGCATCGGCCATCATGGCTGAGGTTAATGGGGAGTCAGCTAGCGGCCCGGCAGCGAATGCGGAGAGCGGGAATGAGTCGGTCTCGGCGCTGACGCGGCAGCTTCGAGAGACACGTTTATCCGAGGGCGGCCCGGGAAGCTCCAGCCCCCATATCTACCCTACCGCAATGCGGAACCACAAGACGAGCGGCCAGAGCGTCGCAAGCGCCGGGATAATCGGAAGGGAGCGGGAGAAGGATCGAGTGGCTGAGCGGCACGCCAGCAGCGGCTCCATCAGCTCGAGCGTAACGGGGAGATTTACCACGCCGATTGACGAGGAGGAGTCCTCGTTTGTCTTCAGGATGGAAGAGGAAGACGATTCGCAGACACGGGCAAGGAAACGTGCGTCGGGAGGAAATACCGGCGTCAGCAGCCCGCTTAGCTCCGCTTGGAGCTACGCCAACGTCGTTGCCAGCAACAGGAACTCCACGACCGCGGCCAATGGGAGCAAGGCTGCGTGACGGGCCGAGCAGGCCGGGAGTAGGTATACTGGACGGTGTGCTCAAGATGCATGAGCGGGGGATACTCAACCGAATGTGGGTGCATTGGTGAAGAACGTACACAATAACGACTGCATTGGTGCCATGGCAACGGAGCACATCGGCGTGTTTCAGCGTTGGGGGATAATGTGGCGGAAGGCCTCCCGCAGAAGACACTGCTCGGCGTTGATACCGAAAAGGGCGTTGACCCCAGGTTGACTGACAGCTTCACATTTCCATTTTCTGCGGCAGGCGTCTGTGGATAATCTTGTATAGACGGCTTGGGAAGGCGTTTCATGGCGAGCGTACGGGGCATCTACATCTATCTCCACCACGTACATATATGCAACATGGGCTCATCGGCCCCTGAATTTGCAGGTTTCAAAGATGCGTATTCGTGCGTGCACTATCCGTATGCCTGAACTCGAGAGTTGTGGCTGCAAGACGCTCAAAGAGGTATCAGATGGCTTGGATCCAGAATCACTCTCAGCACATGCCGTAACTGATCTGTGAGCAGGTTTAATGCCCACTGGAAAATCAGTCATCCACACAGATTACACCCACCTTCCGGATGCCGCCCCTAGTGCAAGACACCGTATCACCTCAAGAGCAGGGCGAAGACGAAGGTGTAATATAGCAATATTTGTCTCGCATTCATATACAGAATACCCAACATCTGTGGAGTACCGACGTATAACACTTGGAGTGAGCTCAGCCTGGGTTTTACGCAAGGATGGGCCGGAGGAGAAACTCTGATGGCAGGACAACGCGCTCGCCGGCCCTGGCATTGATATGCTGGAATAATTTGACGCAGGACATCTCTTCCTCCATGCAGGCCAGCCCCAAAATGTCCGTATTACAACCACATCCCCAACCAAAAGACCCGTCTATCGTCCAGGCAGCGGCGAGGGTATGCCCCGTGTTGCAATTGTCATGATATGGTACAGGCAAACGGTGAAGCACGATCTCTTAGTTCGCGTCAGGCTGGCTGAGGATGTACTCGACAGCCTTATCAACTAAAATGGCGGCAGCGGTGTCAGTACACTTAAGCAAAGACATGGGGCCGGGGGGCAAGCAAAACGACGTACCGCTGTGGATGGCGTCGGCATCCTTGTCGGGGATCTCAATGCTAAACTCCTGTACACCAAGCCTCCGTCAGCGCCACATTATTGACTGAGCTCCAGACGGGGTTGCGAAGTCGAGAGGGGCGGATCGCAGCCCACACCACATCCCCTTGCCCTCGGATGGGAATCATCGTACCTCCTCGATGGCCATCACAACTTCCACCGTGTCCAAGCTGTCCAGGCCCAGGTCGTTCGCAAAGTGCGCCGTCTCTGTGATCTGTCGTATCCGGGAACAGGACGTGTTAGGGTTCGACTCGAAACAGTCGGTTGACTGGCGGCAGATGCCAAATGTGCATACTCACGTTGCTGGGGTCGTTGACCTGCAGAAAGCCACGTTAGCGAGTCTCCATGTTACGGGGGAATCAGGACTGAAAACTGAAGCGAGAAAGCAAGGAACTGCCCGGCTGCATCACAGAGTTGCCGCAAAGAGCAGACGGAAAGACAAGACAAGCTGCCGCAAACCAACCTTGTCGAAACCAGACAGCAGCTGCTTGATCCGCTCGTAGACCTCGGTCTTGTCGAGCGAGCTGCCCGAGGCGTAGCACCGAACCGCTTGCCAACTGAGCGTCTTTGGCACGAACGAAGCGACTCTCGGCGCAGGGGCGACAGCGAATCTCCTCGCAGCCGCCGACGACATGGGGCGGCGCATGGCTGTCCGCGTCGCGGCAGCGGCGGATCGGAGAATGGCTGTGCGGAACATTGTGGCGGCTTTGGCGGGATAATCTAACGATGTGCCGTCGAAGGGTTCGCGATTGGGGTTGACTCGGCGTTGTATCGCGGGTGCAATGGGGAGGAGTGTTGATGATGGGAGTTGACTGGAAGCAAGCAGTATCACGGTAAATTTCTCGCCGTCAGGATGCTCGCTGGAAAGCTCGGATCGCATGCGCCAAGCCCAAAAGGCTCATGGGTCGTGCGCAATCACGTGACCATCTCGCTGGTCGGCGAATTGGCCAGTACGTCAAGAACACCAGGTGGGTTGCCGACAAACGAAACAAAATACGTTCTCGGTCTGGCACGCGGAACAGTATGTACAGCTTGTCTACAAATTTTGTGACCTCCACTTTCATCAACCACCCAATCCTCCGCGGGTCTTATCTGTACGGAGCATCCGCCCTGATGACAGCAGCAAGCTCCGGCTCCCACTTGTCTCCGTTGGCCAACAATTTTTCTGTCAACGAATTAGCATCGAGGCCAGACTTTAGATCTAGATGAATTTCAAGACACACCCTTGTTGTAGAGAAGCTCCTCGCGCGTCTCGGTGGCATACTCGGCGTTGGGCGACTCGACGATGGCATCAACAGGACATGACTCCTGGCAGAAGCCGCAGTAAATGCACTTGGTCATGTCAATGTCGTAGCGAGTCGTCCTCCTTGAGCCGTCGGCACGCTCCTCCGCCTCGATCGTGATGGCCTGCGCGGGGCAGACGGCCTCGCACAGCTTGCAGGCAATGCACCTCTCCTCACCTGACGGGTACCGGCGCAGAGCGTGCTCTCCGCGGAACCGGGGAGAGATGGGGCCCTGAGCAATCGTCAACCTTGTGCTAGCAAAGAAGCCCAATTTTCCAGTGTGATGAAGCATGGAGGCATCCACGGAGCTTCCCAGCCAAGCATCCCATCAAAATCTCAACGCACCTTCTCAAAGGGATAATAGATCGTGTATCTGCGCGCCCAACATATCAGCCTATTGCTTCGCAGATGGAAAACCAAGGACATCGGGCAAGTACTCACGGTGGTCGGAAAAACTGCTCTAGAAGCACGTACATGCCCCGCAGCATCTCGGTCATGAGGAAGTACTTCCCAACCTTGTCCACCGTGCTCTCCTTCTCCTGATCCCATTCGGTAGGCGGCCTGAGACGGAAGTTCTTGGGCGGCGGGCCGGCCGGCGTGGCGTAGCCTCTCCTCGCGACCAGCATCTGGGACGGGATCGTGCGGACGAGGGTCGAAGGCGCCCGGACGAGAGGCAGCTGGCGGGCGGCCTTCGACACGGTCGAGGTCGCGATCATGGTGATAGGGTGACGTGCGACTAGCTGACACGCGGGTTGTGGATCGAATAGAAATCGCAGCAAGAGCTGGTCGCTATGGTCGGCACGGCTCGCTTCGCACTTTTTCGCGCAGGCTCGGTCGCAGATTGGATGATGTTGGCGGTGTGCCGAAGGATACAATGGTGATGGACTTCGTTGGCGTGGAAGACCGAGTCGGTGGCGGGGAAAGGTTGGAGATGTGAGGGGCGACTTTCTCGAGTTCTCCCGATGGAGGTTGACGGCTTCGAGCACCGTAAGCTCAGACTGCGACGAACAAGTCGGCATCTGGGGCGCGATGACAATTCATGGGGCTTGATTGGGTCAATTGATCAGATTTCTGGACCCGCTTAATCTGTCACGTGAGCCGCCCAAACCCTGACCTCAATTCGTCGCACCGCATCCTCCGAGCGCGCCTGCAATTTGTCAACTAACCACGAGCTCTCGACGATGAAGTCACATTTGGTTTGAGGATTATTGCTTCAGGAATGACAACTTTAAGGGCTTGTACGAGATCAAGGCAGAATCACAGGGAGGGATTATGTAACTAGCATCATGGCCCTTTAGGCTTAGCGCCTCCGGGCGGAATAAATATCCATCCATCCATCCGCATCCTCCGAAGCTTGCCTCATCTGCGTCTGCCAGCGAACGATTGCCGAGGGAAAGTTTGGAATAAATGGAAATATCGCATCAGTTGCATGTTACTTCACAGAAAACTTTCATTTGGCACCATCGGATGGTATTTTACACAGTTCGAGTGGGCCATAGGTACATCAGGAATTCCTCCCCCATGTGGTCCACCAGACCCCGATATTCGCTGCCACGACCAAATCCAGCATTTTCAGCCCTTCATCGTGGATGATGAGCTTTCCCAGCTTGGCTCTCTTTCCTCCGTTTCCGCCGCCAGCATTCTCCTTTCCTAAGCTCAAATCCATGGGCGTGTTGCTATTGCCGTACCCGTCGTCGTCACCACCATCGTCGGACTCCTCCTCGCTGCTCCGCGACCTGTGATGGAACAGCTTGCTCAGGCGTCCCGAGACATGATTTGTATTCTTGGTTCCGCCGTCTCGACTGACAGTGTTGTGAGCGGGTCGGCGCGGCAGGTTGAACCTCAGCTCGCTGACCGGCTTCGCGCCCACCAAAGCCGAGGATAGCTCGTCGCCGCGGGACCGGCCCATCGCTTGCGCATCGCGAATGCTCTGCGCCACCTCGCGGGGATCGAGTTTTGCGTCCGCCGGATCGAGTACATGGCGGCACTTGAGACTGCGTCCGTTGGTGCTGGTTCGAAACTCACACCTGCCGTTCCAGGGGCTCAGGAAGACGTAGCCTTTGGGTTTCAGACCTGGGCCTGGGTACGTAATGATCGTCGGCGAGTGTCTCCCGTCGGTCGAGTCGACCGAGCCGATGGTCGAAGTACTGCCATGTCTGGAGTGGAAGGGTTTTGACGCCGAGTCCTCTGGCGATGCTCCCCCGGCTATGGCCTGGCTCCCTGAACGCTCCCTGCGCTGGAAGGCCTTCTTGAAGTTTGACGTCCAGCTCGCGCCGTACGCCATGACAACCTGGCGCGAAAACCCCTCCTCGGCCGGCTTCCATGCGGCAGGCTTCAACATGGGAGCCTGGTCTCCCCCTGGTCCTGACACTGGTCCCTGCGTCAGCTGTTGCGCAAAAGAATGCGCAGAGGTTGGCCGGTAGGCGTTCACATCTGCTCGGCTGGGCATATCGCGGTACTTGGCGTAGCCCGCCGTCTCGAGGCGGATGTCGATCTTGTGGGTATACGAGAGTAATTCGCCCATGTTCTCCGAGTCAAGGTTCGGGTTGGCGGCTTCGGGCGTGGGCACGTTCGTCTGGAACGATGTGACCTTGCCGACGTTCCACTGCGCTCCTGAGGCAGGGTCCCTCCGGATCATCGTGAGCGAGAACGACAGGGATGACGGGGAGCGTCCAGTTTTCCCAGGCGATGGTGTTCTTTCTGCGTACAACGAGGATGCGGGTGAGGTGATCCGCACAGTTTGAGCGTCGGGATTCAGGTTCGCAGTCAGTATTGTTGGTTGAGTCGGAGTCACCGGACGGCGATGGGGCGTGGTGCCGGATGTTGGACGATGGTTATCGCCGTGGACAGCAGTACCCCACGACCCTGGTGGTGTTCTGCTGCGCTGTATCATCGCAGCTGGCGGGGTTGGGCGAGGAGGGAGGTCCGGTGCGTCATGTTCATGTGGGCCTCCAGATCGCCGCGTGCGGAACATGGGGTTTTCTCGGTATCCCTCAACAACGTCGTCTCGTGACTCTCCTTGGCTTTGGCGGGATGGATGATGTGATAACTCAGGATTGACAAGAGTAGATGTTGCTGCCAACGCATGATGTGGCTCGCTGCTGGTGATGACACCACTTTCCGGTCTTAGGACCTTGGCCGATGCAGGCAACGGCTTCCGCGGAATCGCACTTCTTGCACTCTCGCTGCTAGACCGAGGTGAGACACCGCTCTCGGACTGTGTCGGGACGGCCAGCAGCCCATCTTGAGGTGAGTCAAGGTGGAAATAATAGAGGGAACTTGCGACGTCCTCAGCAGTCACATTATTCTTCAGTGGCCGAAAGGTAGAAAGGATGACGTCTGCGGAGAAAGTAAGGTAAGCACCCGTTGCAACGTCCGCCGCCGGGGGCACGACGCACCTTGCGTCCCAGGAACTCGCGAGATATACAGAGTTAGCGATTCGCGCAGGTCTGGGTGGTAGGGGTATTGGGGCGGGTTGGCGGCGAGATAGTTGATGGCTGAGAGGGACCTTGCTTCGGGCTGCGGCCTCGTTGCCATTCTTGTTTCTCAAAGCTGTAGCTGGTACAGTGAAACTGAATGAGGAACTCTTCGAGCTGTGGTGGAGTCATAGTAAGGTAGTATACTCACAGGTCAGGCTTCTTGGGTGTAACCTGGCAACGCAGGAACCGGAAAGCAAACAAACAAAGCCAGAAGGGGTAGGGCGGAGGAAGCGAAATGCTTCTGCGTCGCGTCGGCAACTTCAAACATCGACTATTAAGTCCCCAGTACGATGCGTTTTCGCTGAACAGGTGTCCATCGGTTTCTGGCCCAATTCATCCAATGAGCGGTAGGCAGTCCGGTCAATCCAGTGACGTCGCCCCAAACCCCGGGGCGGTGCTCACCACAGCAGTCGTCAGCCGGCGGTGGCTGTGTGGATGGTCAGTTGACCTTTATAGACAAAAATTTGCTTAGATATAATTCAGCGGACAGTTCTAAATAGAAACACTGGCTCACGGCTTATCTTCGTCCTGACAAGTGGCGGAAAACATCGAGAATTGTTCATGGACAAACAAACTCCACAGCACACGTTGCTTGGCGGGGCCTCGGTTGCTGCCTGAGCTGAAAGTGGAGTCTCCCAGCTCCCATCCCGATATGTGGTGCCAAGAAGCAGAATTCCAGATGTGTCTGTTCTATCATCAGCTACCCCCAAGATCATCATCTGAAACCGTCCTCGTTTGCGGATGGCCTCTTTACACGATGGTCCTGTAACGCCCTGTACCTAGCAAATGAGGCCACTGATCTGTTGAACCGCAAGGAGGCACGCCCGCTCCTAGCCTCACGTCCAATGGCGGCTGAACCCACTGTTCAATGACTCAACCCCATTTCCGAGTCCATGAAGCAAGAAATCCGTAAGTGGTAATATAAAGGGGCTCCTATACTCGTCTCATGTCGGTCACTCCTCAACATTACACATCAGGGTAACGTTCATTTGATCTTCAGATCTCGTCACGGACTTCAGCTGGTTCCAGTCCCTGACATGCCCTCTGTACTATCTGTTGGAACCTGCAGGGCGACGACCGCTGAGATATGCGCTGGAAGAAGCTATTCCCAGTCAAAGCAGTGGATTGAATTTTTAAGGTGGTAAAAAGTGATTGATTGACCATGCTGTTGATGGGCATGGGAGAGGACTAAGTATGTAAGGAAGAGGGGTTGCGGTGCTGGCACCAATCAACCACCGAGGTCCGTTGAATGCAGCCATCAAGGCGGCTTCGTTCCGACACTATCTTGTAAAGAAAACATTAGTGAGGCCCCCTCCACGTATGTCACCCGCCCATGATCCATTTTCCAGCTGGAAGCCAGGTTTCGCAATCTTTCAAGAGACGGTCCAACAGTGCAGAATAAAAATCAGATCTATTAGAAAAAGCATCACTGGAGTCAAAGCAGTCTCGATTACTGGTCGAAAAACTGTCTAACAGGGCCACGAATCATTTCACTTACATTCCAAGACTGTCTTTGTCTTCTGAAAAATGATTCTGCGAGGTCGTCTACGGTTATGCTGGTAGGAAACTCCGAAATAGGTAAGTTCCGCCAAAAGTTTCTTTGCAAATCAATTCGCAGCTCGATAGCTACGACGGTGTCCAAGCTATAGGATAGAAGTTTCTCCCCATAATCAGACCTTGAACAGCGAAAGTCAGATCCTGCGAGGGCTTCTAGGCCATGCCTGAGTGCTCGACAGAGAGCCCAAGAACGTCTTTGCCACATATACGCCTTGTGCTCGCGGCTGCCCACGGTGCATACTGTCGAGAAAATAAAGAAAAACAAGGTAACCAAAGTCAACGTAGTGCGTGAACAGAGACAAGTTCCCGTCATGTTCCACAAACCGGCTACATTTGTCCTTAGTTACTCGGCAGTAATCCTGGAGATTGGAACGACGTTCCCTCAACACACCGCAGATTGGGCAAGACCGATCCGAATTTCTTCTTCAACTCTCATACTCCGTCGCTCCTACTGGTCCCTGTATAAACCTACAGATCTGTGGAGAGCACGACAATTCCGAAACTCCGGGCCTCAAAACTCGACTTAGGGGTTCTCATCTTGGACACAGCAAAATTTACCATTCATGAGTAATAGCGACTGCATGTGAAGACCGCCTGGTGGCCCACTCTCCAACCGGTGGGCATACTGGCGGGAAGCTGATTCTGGAAGCTGTGCCCGCAAACCATCGGGATGTTTCCGAGTCCGGCCTGGCGGCTTCGAGGAGACAGGATATGGACAAGCTCCAGTCCGACGCCTGCGAAGCTGACCAGTAACGAGTCATGGGCTGGGAATAAGTGGTAAATACCGTTCGCCTTACTATGGATAGTTGTCTTCTTCACTCAAGGAATTTTGCTGGGGCAAGACTGCAGTGGTCATGTTTCACAACCGTCTAGTGTCTGGTTCCTGTCACGTTGGTATTCCGCATTGCGTATGAGGGTTTGCGCATGAGGAGTGGGAGCAGTATGATGTACCCTTAATGAATGTAAATCAGTTGTGGCGGACAGCTTTGAGACGACCTTCCGCAGCTTTTCCTAGCTATTGACCCCCGGCCACATACACAGTAACCCCTTCCCCTCTCCAACTCAGAGTCCGCATGAATCCCACCGATTCTGACTCAACTAATTAGTGCGAAGGATGCTTCTTAGTATTGTGTTCATTATCTCATCAGCCTTGTTTCATGAAGTAAGTGCTCCATGGGCCTGTCCCTGGACGGTCCTTAATTTTGTGTACGATCCCAGCTGCACGCGGTGCACGGCAACCTTCTCTGCCTGTCTGCCATCAACCAACAGCACATTAGCTTCCGTCTCCATTCAACTAGCTAGAGGGCACTCCTACAGGCACGGGGTAACAGGTCCACATGAACCTCTGGCTATTTGTTCAAGGCAATACTACCTCGTCCGCGTCAACACCCGAAGCTATATTGCGAAAACTGTCCGCCTCTTTTCAGTAACGATTTTCCGCACGGATCATAACACGCTGTTCACTTCTGGCTGCGGATAATCACCCTTTTCAGTGGGGCGGACACTACCGTGATTAGATCCTGGGCTGTCTCAAGCGAGGTATCGGGGCGGATAGGAGACTCTCATCACTACATAAAGGCAGTCCCCGGCCTGGTTGCCTGGTATCGCGCTCGCACTGCACGCAATCAAGGTTGCACCAGAAACGCTGTTTTGAGTCTGGTTTATGCTTTCAAAGCTTTTCCATGACAGGCTGTGGCAGGACGACGTTAAACAAGGAAGTGTGATGGGTATGGCTGCTTTTTCTTTGTCTTGTGGCCTTCCCCAACCAACCTGGCCTGACGCCCTTGTTCCGTTTGCCTCCATCGAGCGTCGGGTAACTGCCGCTACTCGAAAGACGACCCGAAGGAGTTTTGTAAGATCGATAGAAGCATCTATGTGTCGAGAGCTGGCGTGGTGAGAGCGTGCGAGTAAGTGTTATTATCAGGCTCAGAACGCTGGGCTTGGTTTGTGGACCTCTCGGAGGCAGGTTTTGAAATGAAGGTGGGAGGTTCGGGCAGTGGTGTTTGGACTTGGACGTGTGGGGAATCGGTAATCACACCCCACCCTCATACATAGCCCTAATCCTGGCCATTTCTTGTGGTGGCAGCGCTCAATTTCGCAGCGCGCATTGGATCAAAGTCAAACATGTGCATGTGCTCACTAATGCATACACCCCTCTGTCCGAAACGCCGAATTCTTCCAGGTTTCAATGGGTGTGACAACGGAGCTTGAAGACAATGTCAAAGTTTTGATTGGCTTGAGGTGAGGATTCTCATGATGACGTACCTAGATGGAGAGCTTCATGCTCCAGGATCGAACCTGACCAGATAGAGTATGGTGCAATGCTCTAAGACCTTTCCGGCTCAGGCCGCAGGGGTCGCGCTGAGTGCAGCCCGCTGTATCGAGTCACGGAGCCGTCTCCGGTAGGGGGGACAGTGTGAATGACCCTCCAAAGCCAGTCAGTCCAGCTAGAGGCTAGGGACCATCACGCCAGGGCAGCAACCGTCTTTTAAGGGTTGTTTTTTGAGCGTTGTCGGGTTGCCCGATGTGCTGGTGGGCTCTCTTCGCGAGACTCTGAGGCACGCAGGGGTTGGTCTTTGCTGGGATCGGATCTGGATCGCAATCGAGCTAGCGCACCCGATCGTTGACAGCTGAACCTCGAAGCAGAATGCAACGTGATGAATCTCACCAAGGCACGGCGGCAGGCCGAAAAAACACACGCACCAGGGTATGGAAGCAAGGAACCACGATCTGTCTTCTGGACGCAGGCTTGGATTCGGCAGAGGTTAAGTTCCACAACTCAGGACCGGTTTTTTGTTCATCTTGACCTTAGCTAAAGCTTCACCCCCGCCCTTCACGTGGGAAGAGGAACTTCCAATCTCAGAACACAAGGCTGAGCTTGTCATTGCTTGTCGTGGTGGAATCGAGGAAGAGATAGGACGAGGGCAGCCAATCCCTTATTGAAAAGTTGAGCTAACCGTGTCGGGTGATGGTAGCGACCTTGGCTGGTTGCATGATCTTGTTTCGATTTTCCGATCGAAGGATTTAGTTAGATGTGGATTCCGCCTTCGAATTCCAGCATCTTTTGGACCGGCAGAACAATCCATCTTAGTGCATCCACTCCCTCTGCAAGATGGACCGAACAGCAGCAGCAGGGAGTTTCGCACTTGTGTCAAAATCTTTTTTTCACACGGTCAGGTTTGTCAATGCAGGGAGGATTGGGCCAATCGGGCTGTAAGCACGAATCGCTCTCAAGCCAACCGCAGCAGATTGACAACCCCCCACGAGCACAAGATGCTGATTTGCAGGCTGTTGGTCCGAACAAATACAACCGAGCACCCTTCTTGGCTGTCAGACCCGCAGTTGCAGTCGCTTCTGTGGATATTCTGGATGAATCCGACACTGCAAGGGGCAGGCACGGCCGGTGAAGGCAACCTGGAACAATCCTTGGGCATCAGTGCGCCTGCCTGGTTGGTTGTTGGCAGTGCCCCTGTATGGAGTGCCATCCTACCGTACAGCATCGCAAATCTGAGAAAGCATGCAGTTGATGCAATGTTGCATTCGAGGGAGGGGGGGCAAGGACGGGATTGGGGATTGGGCTTCCGAACTTCCCGCTAAAACCACCCTTGCCGAGCATCATCTCAGCCCGATCGATCCCGGTCTTCCGTCGCGTCCCAGGACTGCATGTGCTACTCTCTGCTGCGACAGTAGGGATACGGCTGCCTCTTCCGGCCCAGCATCTGAAGACCGCGGTCCTGTCGCTGACCCGACCCTCCAATCTTGGCAGACCAATTGCGGCCCCCGGTCCTTAAGCATGGCAACTGCTTCCCTTCTTCTTATGCCCGGAGCCGTCTCGGGCCGCTCATCAGAGCCCCCGTCTCTCTTCTCGTACATCTGCTTCTTGGCTGCCTAAGATCGATGCAGACCAACGCAAAGTCAAACGTCCACAACACTGATTGCCCATGTCCTGATCAGGTCTGAATGACAGCCTAAGGGAGCGAGCGCTGCTCACTTCTGCAACTTGCAGAGGACGCCCAAACACCATGGACATGGCCAATAGGAGGGACCTGGCTGAACATGTCGGCCAGGTCTTACCCGTCAGCTTCGACCCGGTGTTGCTGGTATTGAGCTACCTGATCAGTCTCGTGGGAGCCGGAACGACGCTCGAACTCATCCATCGCCGGACTTCGAGAAAGGGTTATTACAACAAGTGAGTCGTGCTCCAACCGCTCAATTTTAAGACAGTAATTGACGAACATAACAGCCTCTTGCTTTTTGCCGCCGCAGTGACTATGGGTGGTGTTGCGATTTGGTCAATGGTATGTTGCATATCACCGCATGTCGCCCGAAGAACGAGCACCGCTCGCTAACTCACGCCTGAAGCATTATATAGGCAACCGTGCGACGCTTCTAAATAGCGGGGAACCTGAGCTTCAGATCGCCTACTCGGTCGGGGTCACTATCGCCTCCTTCTTCGTTCCCATCATCGTCCTGTTGGTTGCATTTTTCGTCGTTACTGGCGCCAGCACCAGCGGTAACCGGGTCAGCTGGTGGCGTGTCAGCATCGCCGGCACGCTTTCCGGGGGTGCTATCTGCGGCATGCACTACCTTGGTAACTCCTCCATCAGCAATTACCGATGCACCTACGTCGTTCCCTTCGTCGTCGGCTCCGTCATTATCGCTGCCGTCGCCAGCACCGTGGCCCTCGCTCTCTTCTTCATCTTCAGGAGTTCCTGGACCAATTCTTGGTGGAAACGAGTCGGATGCGCCGTTGTCATGGCTGGCGCCGTGTCGGGAATGCATTGGTGTGCTGTGGCTGGTACACGATTCACCTTGTTGCACGTTAATGCCACCAGCGATCTCAGATCCCGCAATACAACCGTTATTGTAACGGCCTGTCTGGTGAGCTCGCACACCAACTCGGCCCCCACCCTCTAGCAATGTATTCGACTGCTGACAAATTGACTCGGGAAGTCATTCGCGGCTTGTTTGATAATGGCCGGACTCGCCATCTACTCGGCTCGCGTTCGCAAAAATTACGCAAATAGGGCTCAGACCATCACACTCGCAGCTGCCGTCTTTGATGAGCATGGGAGGATTCTGGTGACGCCTGATGGTTACTTGCCAAGTGAAGTAGTCACCAGCACCTTCCTACACAAAGTGAGCTTCCGGCTACAGTAGATGGCCTCCCGAGGCCCACCCGCCCCAGTCACTGACGAAAGATGGATCTAGGCACAAAATGAAACATTCTCGACAGCTCACCCCTTGTTCCACTGGCTTTTCCAAGCATCTCGGAATTGGGATAGCATCTCGGCGCTCCTCGATAAAATGTACCAGCATCTTGCCCGCCTCCCACACCATGGGCGCAACATGAGAACGGCCATTGAGCTTGTGGACAAGGAAGGACACATCATCGAGAACTACGACATCATATTTTGCGAGCTGTTTTGCGTCGCGGCGTCTGCCCTAGCCCACCAAACGAACGAAGACCTCGTCAATGCCGGCATTTTGTGGGACGAGATCCTCGCAACAGGTGGACACTCCTCTACGGACTCCATTGGTGAAGCCGCAACTGCCTCCCGCTCCCGCGGAGGCTCTGTGCCCGATATCAAACAAGATCTCAATGACCTAGCCGAGAAAGGAGCGAGGCCAGCCAAGCGCGGCGGCCAAGGTCACCTCATGTTCTTGGTCCGCAGGGTAGATAGCAGGCACGTCGACCATATGGCAGCCTCGGGCTACTGCTTCGCCGAGCCTCGACATGTCGCTCATATCATCCGCTCCAAGATGCAGATCAGGAGCGCCAGGCTCGAGGAAAAGTTGAGGGGCATGGAACGGTACGCCCGGGGTACCATGATGGAACCCGGCGTGCACCTCGGCCTGTTCGCCGTCAGAACCCAATTGCAACAAATGGGGTTCGATATTCTCGTCAGAAAACAGGCCCGGAACCTGCTGCCGACCATTGAAATTCCACTGGATCGCCTCGAACTCTCCCACATTGAGTTCCTTCGCAAGCTGGATGGCATGTCGCTTGGCTCCCTTCACAGGCAATTGGAGCGGACTTCGGAACTGCCGCCGCGAGATGCAAGTTTTGCCAGGCTCCTGCTCGATGGGATACGGAACCTCAGGACCTCGGTGCAAGACCCCCTTTTCGACACCGCCAAGCTGGTATCCAAAGTCACCCAGGTCCCTTGCACGCCGCCGATCAACGACACGCGACCGTCAACATGCTCCCTCATCGCCTTCACCATCATGATTCCCATCCACGTCCGTGCCGATGCTCCCGCCTACGAGTTCATTCCCCTTCCCTTCTTCAAGACTCAGCAGTTGGTCTACAACAACTCACCTCACAAGGCAGCCTTCGCGCGCTCGGTACACCGCAAGATCTCGCCCATACTCGAATCAATGTCCTCCGATAGCACACTGCTGCCCTCAAGCCGCCTGCCGGACTGGATCAAGACGCCTGGATTCCTCTACTTTTCCAGCGACGGCCGGGCATCCCGTACTCTCGAGACCCAGCTGCGCAGACAGCGGACCAATGCGGTCAAATTGACGTCCCCGAGCCGCGAGCACATGACAATGACGCCCTGCGATGAGAGCAGCGTTGCATCGCTGACATTGTATGGCGTCAGCGGCGGCGAGGCAGATCTCTCGCCCGACCGCAAGCAACCGAGCGACATATCTGTCTCGGACATCGCGAAAGTGGCCTCACGAAGGCAGCAGCCGTCCAAAATATCGTTTGGCGGCATCATGATCTCGCAGGAAGTCACCGTCGACGTGGAAGAAGTAACAACAGTCCCGGCGTCCGAGATGCCCGAGATGCCCCCTCCGACTCACCACCACCACCATCACCACGACGGGTCCATCGGCGGCGGTGGCGCACCCGGACTGACGCGCCAGAGGAGCCTGCGTGGCTTGCAGAGTGCAGGTGATGGACAGAACCCGCCTAGGTATGGAGATGATATAGAGCTCAAGGAGGTCAAGACTGTGCTTGGTGTGGGCGTGTCGAAGGTCGAGGTCAGGAAGGAGGGGGATGATGTGGCGACGACGTTTGTCGATGATCTTTTTGCGATTTGCATTGATACCCCTAGACGTATGTAATTTGTTAGTTACCTATTGTATATAATGATGAAGCGCTTGCTCTTCTTATACTTAATTAGAAGAAGCTGGGAATCGTGGCCCCTTGTCCACGCTAGCTACTGCCTGCGGATATCGCCTCAAGTAAGAGTTAACCCAAGCAGCAATGAGTATCCGTACAGTCCAAAGCTGATTTGCTATTGTTAGTGCGTGGCTTGAGCATTTAATTTGTTCTTCTTGTCTATTTCCTTGTCGTTTATTTTCCTTTCCCCTCTAACTTTGTTTCTATCTTGCTTCTTTCTTCCTTTCTTCTCTTCCTTTCTTCCTCTCTTCCTTTCTTCCTTCCTCATTCTTCTTCTTTTTCCCTTCTTTTCTTCCTTCCCTGCCTTGTTCCTTCTTTTCGTAATTTGTACTTGTCGAACTATGTCTAACTAACGTTAGTTATTCTTGTTCTTCTTTTCTATTCCTGATTTTAGATTTCCATTCTTAATCTCGTCTAGCACTTGCCACACGAACCAGGGCTTGACTGTCTCGACCGTACATCCGTATATGAATTTGTTGCTTCCTGCATGTGAATATGCAGCTTATGCTGCGACATGGCGGCACGAAACGAACCAACTTGGGTCCTCGTGCGGTCCCCGCTATCCGGATAAAACGGGTTGGTGGTCCGATGAAACTGTGACTCTCTACTGCATGAGCAGACTCCAGGGTAACCGCAATTTCCACAGTCCTCTGGTGAGCTAGCGAGGCTAGGAAGGCTCATTGGCCTCGGCGCGTCGAATGACAAGAGGGAGGCTCAAATATCTCATTTCGGAGCCGAGTCCTGCTGTGACGGCGCCACAAACACAGCCTGCTACAATTGCCGTTAGGGTACTAAAGTTCAGAACTGAATTGCAGCTTGTAGTGAGGTAAAGTCGTCGTTCACCCAAGAGCGTTATGTCTGTCGGCTGTTGTGTTCACATGGTCTCCCGTCACATTCATTAACTCTCTAGGGCAGCATGGGGGGATGAATGCATATGCGGCATAAAAGAGCCAGTACAGAGATGGTTTACCTGCCTGATGTTGGTATGTCTGATGCATAGCACTGGTTCGGCTAGGCCAGCTCGAGTCTTCTTAGGAAGTATCGCTTTTCTGACAGTGTGGTACCGACTGACTTAGCGGACTCATATATGGTGTCACTTGTTTGTCAGCGGCGTAATGTTGGCTGCGTGCGCTCGAAGGCTCGTTCGACGTACCATTATTGGTGAGCTACTCTGCAAGTACTACCCTGGCTACAACATGCAGTACTCGGCCCATGTTGCCATGCATGGCCTTATCCCAGCTGTTAGCTCCGCCCCGAGTCGTTCAAGATAAAGACGTCATGTCGCTTCTTAGAACCCATACACTTGAATACGCTCTACCTTCAAATTATAATACGAGCTCTTACTTTCATTATGAGGTTTTCGCAGGTTCCTGTGGCTCTTGCCGTCTTCTTCGCTGGCGTGTCCGCACAGGATGAATCTTATGACTATGTTCGTACAAGCAGCACTTCCATGCGGTATGTGCGCTTCGAGGAAGAACCCCAGCTTGCTGACAGCCGTGTAGATTATCGTTGGTGGCGGCACCGCTGGCACCGCGCTTGCCACCCGCCTCAGTCGCGGTCTTCCCAAGTCTAAGATATTGTTGATCGAGGCGGGCCCAGCCGCTCTGGATGACCTGAGGATCAATGTCCCTGGTCTCCGCGGGTCCATTCTGGGATCCAGCCTGGACTGGAATTTCACGACGGTGCCACAACCATCTCTCGGCGGTCGATCTATCGACGTCAACCGCGGTAGGGTGCTGGGGGGTTCGTCGGCTATGAACTACCTCTGCTACGACCGTGCGTCAGCTCCCGAGTATGAGTCTTGGGGCGAGCTCGGCAGTCGGGGCTGGGGTTGGAAGACGATGATCGATGCGATGACCAAGTCCGAGAACTTTACCGGGCACGACAACGACAAGCATGGCTTCACCGGTCCGATCCGGAACTACTACAACCGGGTCATCTATCCCGTCCTACAATCCTGGCAGCCTGCCGTGAGCAAGCTGGGCGTCAATGTCAATGACGGCAACAGCATGGGCGGCCACCCGATTGGTGTGATGTTTCAGCCCACCAACATCGACGCAACAAAGCACACGCGCTCCTACTCGGCCAACAGTTATCTGCCCTTGGCTGGCGGCAACCTTGTGGTCAAGACCAACACTCGAGTCGCCAAGGTCAATATCATCAAGTACCGTGACAAGGGAGGCTCATTGTTCCGGGCGACGGGCGTGACCCTTACCGGTGGCCAGATCATCACGGCCAAGAAGGAAGTCATACTCTCGGCCGGCTCAGTCCAAAGCCCCGGTCTCCTCGAGGTTTCGGGCATTGGTCAGGCCGCGGTGCTCAAGGCCGCCGGTATCACGCCACTCATTGACCTTGCGGGCGTCGGCGAGAACTACCAAGACCACATCCGCATGTCGAACACCTACCAGCTCAGACCCGGCATCGACTCGTTTGACAACCTCATCTTCGACAGCGCCGGGGCCAACGCCACTGGCGAGATGCAGAAGTGGCTGAGCGGCGAGCGGTCGCTGTACGAGTACACGACGGCCGCCTACGGCTTCATGAATTGGCAGCAGCTCGGTGTAGATGCCCAAATGAAGAGCCTCGCCCGCAACACATTCGGATCCAGCGCCAACGTGATCGACGCCAAGAAGCTCCAATTCCTCGACAACCCCAGGGTGCCGTCGGTCGAGTACATTTTTGAGGCCAACTATGTCGGTGCCTCTGGCTACACGGGCGGCAAGTTCATCACCCTCATCTCGACTGTCATGCACCCCTTCTCGCGCGGCAGCGTGCACATTGACCCAAAGGACCCATTCGGCAAGCCCGTCATCGACCCCAAGTTCCTGAGCAACCCGTACGACCAGAGGGCGCTCATCGAGGCAGCCAAGTTTGCGCGCCGGATCGCCAATATGGAGCCGATCAAGTCAGCCTGGGAGACCGAAACGGAGCCCGGCGAGGCCGACGTCCAGAGCGACAAGCAGTGGCTCGCCTACGCCAAGAAGGTTGCCGCAAGCTTCTATCACCCTGTGGGGACATGCTCCATGCTGCCCAGGAAAGACGGCGGCGTTGTCGACGCCGACCTCCACGTCTATGGAACGACAAACCTGCGCGTCGTCGATAACAGCATCATCCCCGTCATCCCTTCGGCCCACATCCAGACGGCGGCGTACGGCATTGCCGAGGTCGCTGCGGCCAGCATTATTTCTGAGGCATGAACGATGTAATAGGGGCCAAACAGCGGGATGCGGACAGGGTAGCTTCCAACCTTTTTGTCGACTTCATGAGGTTACACAACCTAAGCTCCTGTTATGTAGAATGATGTGCTATAACACCCCTCGTACGAAAGTTCCCCTGGTGGAAATCACTCTTTATGCACCGACCGGAACCCGATGCAAAAGGCTTGTCGCGAGTCAAACGCCACGCATGGTCAGTACCGAAAAGAGCGACGAGATCGACGGAGGTTCCCGTTCAGCCCTATGGCATCTGAAAATGGTTTTAAAAGTGGAGCGATTGTTTCTGGCTGTTGTGAAGAAATGTCCTTGCAAGTCTCCTGTGCCTGATTGGCTGGTCGCAGCGCGCGCTCCGAGCTGCGCAATCCTCAGAACCCCCTCCACGCGCGTTCCTCAACTTGCGCGTTCCCGTGCGAGTGCTCGTCAAAGGGCAGGAAACTTTCTCAGTTGTTGCACAGCCTGCTGAGCAAGGTGAAGCTTCTGACGATCTGGATGTTCAACTTAAAATTCGGACTTAGCGGCCCGGTGTGTTGTGGGGGCCGCGGATGCGGAGGTCCATGTCGGAGCATAACTTCGGTCGCTACAACTAGCGGGCAGCGGCTTGGACCCACAAAACCCGGTTTATACCGAATGTGATCATTCCGAAAGCAACTCGGTTACGAAGGCTCTCGTACTTGTCAAACGCACCGTCTCCGTCACGTTCTCATAAGGCTCCCATGTCTCCTCTCCACCTTTCCATCTCACGAGCAGTTCCGGGCCGCCGTCATGCAGCTTCCTGTGGCCACAAATCTCCTCCACCTCCCACTCTCCCTTCCCGCCGCCGTCGCCAACCAGGGGGAAGCAGCGCTTCATTCAGTTCAAGTTATCAGACAGATATATCAGTCAAATTCAGACAAACAATCAGAATCTCGAATGCTATTCAACCAACTAGATCAGATTTCAAGTCCTTTGATCTGCAGATTATCAGATCCCCTTCATCGCCTGGATTAATAGTTATTCCGTTCCGTAACCCCTGCTAATGTCCCCTGCGACAGCCCCCTGAGACAGCCCTCTAGAAGCTTCCTTGGTCTGTGGAGATCTGACTGGGCAACCGACTGGGGATTGGTCTTGAGAAGTTCTATAGTTATCTTCAGCTGCTCCCCTGGCTGCCGCCAGCTCGATTAAGTTGTTCCCAAAGTCCGCAGCTGTCATCATGTCACCTATCCCAACCTCTAAAGAGTCATCCACTCCTTCTGCCTTTTCCCGCCTTCGACCTAAGCTGAAGACCGTCGCCAAGCAGATTGAAGAGGCATCAACTGCTGTAGTCCCTCCGACCATCCCTTTACATCTTTCGAAGATCCGTTCATTAAGGAGCTGCTTTCTCTCTTCGATAGTCAGCTGGCAAAGCATGTACCTCTCGGAAGAAACGCCTTGAGTGCTGAAGTCTCGAGACTCTTCGAAACAGGGAAGGTAGCTCTCCGTGCAGAGCTCCAGGCTGCCCCGACGTCTATACACATCAGCTTCGATCTTTGGACGTCCCCAAACCACCTCTCGATCGTCACTATTTTCGGCCACTTTCTCAGTCCAACTTTCCGTTACCAGAGACGGATGCTTGCCTTTCGGCGCCACGAGGGCACCCACGACGGCAGAAACATAGCTTATTCCATCGAGCAGGTCATCAGAGACTGGGGAATTGAATCTAAGATTGGAGCCTGTGTTTCAGACAACGCGTTGAACAACGATACGTGCCTCAACGCGTTGTATCTCCAGTTTCCTCGCTTCACAGCAGCTGATGCAAAGAAGCGAAGACTCCGCTGCTTTGGTCATATCCTCAACCTTGTAGCAAAGGCCTTTCTTTTTGGGGACGATGCTAGCGTCTTTGAGCTCGAGTCTGACCATCTGGAGCTTCTTGGAGAGCACGACAGGGCCCTCCAGCATTGGCGCCGCAAGGGGCCCATTGGGAAGCTCCACAACATTGTCAAATTCATCAGAGCATCCCCCCAGCAGATAGAGGCATTTCGAAAGGCTGCTCGTGAAGAAGATGCTGCTAGTGCTGCTAGCGATGGCTCTGAGGACTTCGTCCTTGAACGAGAATCGCTAGTAGAGCTCGAGTTGAAGCAGAACAACGCTACTCGGTGAAACTCAACGTACCTGATGATCAAGCGGGCATGGAAGAAGCGTGCGCATATTACAGCATACTTGATGGCTCTCGAGCTCGACGGCTCAGCGGCAGCAAGGATTCCTTCTGAAGACCAGCTTTCAACTGAAGATTGGAGGCTCCTAGGCGAGATTCAGCATATCCTTGAGCCGATTTACGATATGACGATGAGAACACAAGGATGGGCAAAGGGCAACGGCCACGGGCAGCTGTGGGAGGTCATGACCGGGATGGAGTTTCTCTTAGACCATCTGGAGGCTTGGAAGAGTTTGTTTGAGGAAGAGGCAGCAGAACAGGTGCTGAAATCAGCCTCGCAACCTATACAGCAGAGCCCACGCAAGTTTCAGCACCAGTCCCGGCGATCTGCGAGACAGGGAGGTCGCTCAGAGCGCCAGTCTCTTCCGTTCAACGAGGCTGCACTTCCTAGGCATGTCAGGGAATCCTACACTTCCTTGAACAACAGCAGCATCAGCGACATGCAGAGGGACGAGAGAGCGTACATGAGGGCGTCAATCACCAACGCCTGGGTCAAGCTTGATGAGTACTACACTCTCCTTGCTGATTCACCGCTCTACTCAGCAGCTGTTATCCTTCACCCAGAGTATGGCCTCTCATTCCTCGAGGAGGTTTGGGCAGATCAAGGCCAGTGGCTACTCAACGCAAAGCAGGATCTCAAGGATTACTTTGAGCGTTGGTATCTAGCTCCTGAAAGTCCCGATAATCCATTCAGCCCGTCGCCATCGGCATCCCCTGGGCCGGAGGAGCAGCCCCCAAAGGAGCAGACTCCTTTTGAGCAGTGGATGAAGAGCCGTCGGCCGAGACGGTCGGAATCAGACAGCGAGCTCGAGAGATACTATAGGCTCGAGCCTCAGGAAGTCAATGATCCTATACAGTGGTGGGCAGATCGCAGGACAACGTTCCCTCAGCTGAGCCGTTTTGCTTTAGATATCCTGGCGATTCCCGCTACGGCATCTGACTGTGAGAGGGCATTTAGCATCGCGAAGCTGACCGTTGGCCCACAGCGGCACAGCCTACAGGATCAGACCATTGAGTCCATGCAGATGCTGAAAGACTGGATCAGGCAGGGCTCTCTCAGGCTAGGAAACATCGGGTTGATGTGAGACAGGAATGGCTTTATTCTGGGTATGAGAGATCAGATTAATAGTCAGACAGATCAGTTTAATCAGACTCAAAGCTCGGGATTGTCAATCAACCAAGTTTGGGTGTCTAATCTGATCTGATTGAACTGAATGAAGCGCTGGGGGGAAGGGGGGGCGCAACCCGGCTGGCGTCGGAGTCTCACGAGAAAACAGTGAAGGTTTGGGATATGACGAGCGGCCAGCGCGAGCCGACGCTCAGGATCGGTCGTATCCCTCACGATCTCCAGTTTCATCAATCTAACCCTTACCGTCTACGCACCCAGCTTGGCACATTCAACTTTGTTACGAAATGACGCAGATTTGGTCGTAGCCCTGCCTCTGCTGGTCCTTCATTGCCAGTCACTGTTGGATATGGCTTAAGCAGCAACGGTGCCTAGATTGCATATTAAGAAAACACCTGCGGTGGCTGCCGCCCGAGTACCGGCCATCATCTTCAGCTACATCTGCAACGGTTGTGTCAATCGGCTGTTCTTCGGGCTATATCTTGATTTTCACGTTCTCAGACAGCAATTTAATTACAGAGGAAATACAGTGATGCCCTTTCGCCTTTCGACGTTCTATTTATTGTTTCTATATCCTTGCTCTTTCTCTCTCTCATTTCTTCTCATAGCGTGCAACGAGAAGTGTGTAGGAGGACCGATGAATTCATAGCTTCCTTCGCTAAGTACCAGCACTTTTGCGAAATTTCTTCTACTCAACAATCGCTTTGCCACTGTATCCGTCTCAAGGAATGTGGACCTTTTAGATAGGGCTGGTGCAGTTGTCACGGGATTCCCGCTCCTGTTCTTACTTGCTTATGTTCCATATGTCTCTAGTGATACTACGGGTCTCTGCTCCAATACCTAATATCTAGTCGCAGGCCCACACCTGCCATCTAGCTCTTACTCTCTTCGTAGCAATATCAATGTTGTATATGTGCGACCTGACCCGATTTTGGCGACCATCACACCGGTGGCTCAGTCGCGCCGAGGCGTGATGTTGGAATAGCTTCTGTTGAGTGGGCAAGGACTAGCCACAAATCAACGTCAATATCACAGAATGCATCATTGTCCTGCTGCGTGATGGGCACTGCAGACAACCAAGTCATATGTGTGCTAGTGGTCTCGTGCGCACACGGTCCTGAGCCGCCGTCAACGTCAGTGGTACACTTATCAACTCTGCGCGAAGGTTCAACGCACAGGGGGGATCTCACTCCCCGGGTGACCCTTCCGGCCTTTCCCACCACGAGTTTTTGGCCCATGGTCTACAGCAGGGATTAAAAAAAAGAGACTTGGCCCATAGTGTATAGTTCGGTCAAGTCGCGGCAAGACAGAGAGACATGGCAAGCCTTCGTCTCCATCTGTCAAGTAATGATGTCCGCGAAAAACGGCTGCCACACCAGATCCGTTGCTTTAAACCTCACCCGACTGTTTTCTACCGCCTATGGCCGTATGCGACGATTATCGCAGATGGCAATATGAATCTTGATTTGATGAAAAAGGGGGATCAAGCAATTTCGAAAACAACCCTCGCCGCGAGGTCAAAAAGAGTCGGCTCAAGCCCATCAACCGTGGCGATGCGCTCCCAAGCCCCCGGCACACGCCGCGATTGACCCAAGACGAGGACGAGACACCTCAGCGTCTGCCGTTGAACCATCAAACACAGACAGTTGCCGGACCACGACTTTTCCGGCCACAGCTCGCCATCCGGAACGCGGATGACGGTCGAGACGTTTTCGCCATTGATGACGCCCGTCCACGGCTGTAAGGCGACGTCGGCGGTGATGGGCATGGCACCAACCCCTCTTTGTGTCAAACCCGGTATGTTATAGTGGTAGTCAAACGTCTTTTCCTCAGAGGCTGATGGGTTGCTGTCTCCAACTTCTTCTTCTTCGGGAAACGGGCTCTCGGTAACCTCGCACCTGACCTCCGTGGCAATGACGCGGCCGCGGACGGTGATGACGCCCGACGCGGCATCCCATTTGGTCACCTCGAGGTCGGCGACCGCCGGGTCGTACGCGTCCATCCTCTTGACGTTGACATACGACACAGGGCCCTCGACGCTGGCCCAGCTCCAGGTCGGCGCATAGAAGCCCGGGTGTACCCTACAGAGATGCCTGAACCCGGGGCCGTCCCACTCCTTGGCATGCCACCCGAGACTGTCAATCGGCGCGCTCGCCCACATGCCGTACAGCGGCGACCAGCCGCGCGCTTTGGCGATCCGCCGCATGGTGGCCGCCATGGCCGGCAGCCGGTCTGCTGGGCGGGTAATATCCCGTTGCGTGTACTCTTCCACCAGGTTCATCCAAGTCTTGTAGGTGACGTTGTCGAGTTGGGCGCTCCACGACGGTCCTGTCACGCCCTCGCCGAAGCCTTCCCAGATGGAGTGGGCGTGGCATTCAAACTTTAGGGCGGATTGGGTGAAGAAGATGGTGCGGGCTGACAGCATTCTGCAGGACGGCTTCGAGTTAGAACACATGCTGTTCGACTTTTGGGGGGTTGACCCCCTATTTAAGAAGATGTCGATGTCGATACGACTGGGAAGACTTACCGCTCCTGCCATATCCACGCACGCGTTGACACCTTGCCGTAGTCGCCGCCCCGTGCCTCCATCCCGAGCGGCTGCGACCGCCGACGTACCTGGAATGAGAGCTTGCCCATGCTTGGTTCGGTGATTTTTAGGTCGTACGTGCTCCATTTCAGGTCTCGCTCGACGAGGATGCGGTCACTCTCAGACGTCTAGCATATCATTGGGAACTTGTCAGTAAGACTATGGCCATGTTTGTTTTCAGGCGCCTACAACGCACCGCAGAGGCAGCGGCAATGGTCAGCGTGGCGTTGCCGTAAATGGTTCCCATTTTAGGGGCCTGCCTCGCAAAGTCGGTGCTGGACCCCTGGACTATGCACAGCCGGTCAATCCAGACATATTCAATGCCAAGGAGTCTGGCAAGATCGACGACGTCCTGAAAGAGCGGAGGTAGGCCCGTGTAGGCAATGCCCGCCTTATGCGTCTCAAGACTGGACTCGTCGGTCATGAAGGTCGAAGGCGAGACGGGGCCCCAGCAGTAGCTCAGTGTCAGGTAAGGGGCTCGCTTCTTCCCGTGCGTTTGACTCTCCACTAGTCGGATACCGCTGGGGGTTTCACTCTGCGGCGCCTTCACCCAGATGACGCGGTCGGGCAGTTTAGGCAGATGCCCTGATGACGAGCAATTGTGGCTCAGCATGCACCTCTCGACGTGGGTTTTGATGAACTTGTAGCACTCAACCGAGCCTGCATGCTGCGAGACAGGGGTGGCAGTGCCGATGTCCCTGATGAGCTCTCCCAGAACGAGGTCTGCTAGCAGGCACTTGTCAACAAGCCCCTATTTCCAATGTTAAGACGCAGGGGTAAGAGTCCAAGACGTACCGCCGACGGTTGACTGCTCAGGGGCAATGTTCCGTTTGTAGATTTCTATCTCCAGCGCCTGCGGTTTCTTCTCCTCGCTCACTGTGATCTCGATATCCCAGTTCATCGCTGAACCCTCGGGCAGCAGGACTCCGAGATCGACCATCGACTCCTTTCCTGTCCTCAAGCTCGACGTGCTGCCATGTTGCAATCTCACTACCAAGGGTAGGTTGGGAGCCAGAAAGAGATGCATGAATGACTCTCCCTCTTCCCAGCCGGGAGAGACTCCGCTAAGCGACGTAGCAATTATCGCGCAGGTGAGGCAACCGTGCTGTGCAGACTCCAGCAGCTCTGCCGACTTGCTGATCTTGATCTTCGCAACTGGCGTGTCCGGAGGGATTGCGTACTCGGCTTTGGCCCATGCCCGCGTGCCGTCTTCGCCGCTGCGATCCTGGGGGGCCGCATAGGGATCCAGATTGTAGCAGACGCTGCAGAGCGCCGGGGGCCGGATCTGGATCAGGTCCCTTGGGTCGCCCCGGGCAAACTTTGAAAACGGTTGTTGCAGTAGTGCTGTGAGCTCGGCATAGCTAGAAAGTTGGAGGGACTTAGATGCGATTACGCGAACCGTCTGCTTCTCTAAGGTGCGGGATATGCGTGGCTGTTGCTCTGCCTCCTGATGTTTTTTTCCTGCTTCGCGGCCATCTTCGTCCCAGACCGGTTCATACATCTCTCGTCCCTCGCTTGGGGTCCCGAACCCTGGCTGTGAAGCTGATAAAGTAGGCTTGTTGGTGACGCGGGCCGCGGCAAAATTGAAACGTGCTGTGGCTTTTCGGTGGAGGATGTGAAGCCGCGTGTCTCGTGGATAGAAATTAATCCCTGTCTTATCTCTGAGAATCGCCCAACATGCGGGGGTTGCATTCTCACAGAGCCTCACCACTTATTGACTTGGCAGTGCGGGGGCAGTGCAGCTATGTGGTAGTGATTTGTGGTAGGCAATCTCAAAGGTTGACACATGGTTTGGTGGAAAGGGGGGCGGAGCACCAAACCTTGAACTAGAATCGTTAGCCCCATCACCATCACCATGTCACTCTGCTGTCATCGAACGTCAGGGGGATAGATATAACGTACAATATGAGCGAGTGTGCAATTTCTACCACCCGACACCGACTATCGCCATTTGTGACACGTAAACATTGAGAACTGACTATAACTACATCGGAAACAGCTGAATCAAATGATTCTGCAGCCCTCCGACAAGTGCGTGCATTGTCAGGCTTGCCACACACACCACAGCACCGAACCTTCGTACGAGAGCCCCCTGCATCATAACCATACAGCTGCATTTCTTGCGCTACTACCCCACCTGCAGCCTCCTTGTCAAGTAGATTCTTTGCATCCTGTACAGCAAGGGATCCTTCAAACTGCACGCGTGTTGTTTTCGCTCTCCGGCGCTTGCTTAGTGCCTCGTTGGCCTTGCGGAGTGAAGCATTCTCTGCACGAAGGAGAGCCACCTGACGCATCACGGCCATTGTACCCTTGGTAAGCTGGTTCACGGCGGCCAACATTGAAGTCGGGGAGCTATTCTGTTGGTTGGCGATGCGAGTCTTGATGAGCGTTGACTGACAGTTGGCTTTCTGGGGGTTGTGTGGCCTTTGGAAGACCCAAGGTTGTGGAGTGCCGGCCCGAGAGTTCAGAGGTGTGGGTGTACGAAGCTTTACATCCAACTCAGAAAGCACCCTCCCTGGGTCGTACCGCACAAGGCCAGGACCTGCAAAGCCACCGCGTATGTTCTTCTCTGTCACAGAAGCAGAGAAGGCCGCGCGGAAGGCACAGAGGATTCCCACATGCGCATTGATCTGACGGTGCTACTCCAATCCGGTGAAGGTAACCGTTCAGTCTCGCCATGCCTGTTCTGAGCTGAGCGAGCACACCAGCCTCCTTTCGTGACAGATGGTTGTACATGTTGGAACCCGCAGGGCAAAGACCGCTGAGATATGCGCTGGAAAAGAGCTATTCCCCGTCAAAGCAGTGGATTGAAATTGAAAGGTGGTAAAAGTGCTTGATTCTCTGTGCTGTTGTTGATCGGCATGGGAGAAGACTAAGTACCTGTAGGTAAGGAAGAGGGGTTGCGGTGCACGGCAAGCGCGTACCTCGAGCTTGTCTGCTCGCGCGTGCCCCATTTGCTCTGGCATTTGACCTCTCCATCGCGAGAGCTCTTCCAGCTTTTCTTCCTTTTCTCCCCATCTTGCGATTAGCAGAATTGAGTAGTGCTTGCAGCGCCCTTGTGCCTCGCCTCCGCATTGCTCGTCTCTCACAAACAGTTCCTCTCGATGCGGTGCTTCGCATAGCATAGATTACAGTTCTTCTCGACATAGGGGCCGTATCCTCCAGTGATTGCATCGCTTCACGGACTTTTGTACTCGGTTTCCGGGCGCGGCTCGGTCGTTTTGGTGAGGGTGGGCGGTCGGCCACCGCGATCACTGCCTCATGTTGCGCCGCCGCCGCCATCTCGCGGTCCCGCGTGTTCTGTTGGTAGCTCCTTGAGCTACGTCTTGACAATCAAGTCTGCCCGTACCTGACAGAATAGAGCCTAGACTGTAGCTTAGCCGAATACAATTGTCATTGGAATGTCCGCCTGTTCCGCTGACAATCAACTTGCTCCTCCATGTCAGGTGGTCCTCCGCCTTAGTAAGCTTAGTTGTCGGTGGATAACGCGACGCATTGTCTGTACAACGCAATTGAGGTTCTGGGCTAGTAACTGGCCAAACAAGGCGTTCAGTTGCGTTGGCATGAACTGGGGCGGTGCTGCCGGTGGCCCGGCGTTGCTAGCCATCTTGACTGAGATGCTGGCAACGATATAATGTCAATGAAAGGGGCTAAACCAACTACACCGACTTGGTGATCAACGGAAGATGTTGGATTTGGCAGGTGGTTAGGAAGGGCAGTTCAGGCGTGACTAATGGCCTGGCACCAGGATTCTCAGGATCAGGAACAGGAGGTAACTTTTTGGAAGAACGGAGACAAAAACATCATCATCGATTGAGAGGTTTCCCATCTTTTGTTACCGAATTACTATGGTGCGGTCAATCCGTGGCTGTTGGCTTTCCAACAGAAGACGATATAGAGGATGAAATCGAGAGGACCCTGACCAAAGAAAGCCGTAATACGGTCGGGATACCTTCCGACAAGAGAGTCGCAATGTACTGTGAAAGCCACTGGAGCAAAGCGGCTTGAATAGCGAATCCGAGCTTCAATAACTGCTGTTGATGAAAGCTCATCCGGGGTAGGTTGATCCTTAATGCTAAGATGTAGGATCCAAAGAACTAGACTAGTCGGCAACGTGATTGGATCGCTGTGGTATCGCTAACGTAAAAGATATTGACGACGGTAAGGTCGGAGATAATATTGAGAAAGTTGTCAGTTGCTCAGAGAAGCATCAGAGGGCTTATGACCTGATGTGCAACCAGAGACAGCAGAAGATGGTGATTATCAATGGTGGTGTTTTCCATACAGTGGTGATGCTGGATGTGTGATGGCTCTGGTGTGGCAGGGCTGAAACATCAGACGTGGGGCAATCCGGTCTGCCCAGGATGTGGGGCACCACCCACAACACCACCCACAACAGCTTCTCTTCCTTACAGGTGGCGTGAGAAAAGGGGAGAGAGTAGAGGGCTTGTACGAGTTGATGACCGAACGTCAACGAATTGGATGTAGTTAGCGTGCCAAGGCCCCATAGGCTTCGTGCCTCCGGGCGAAATAAATTCCATCCATCCATCCATCCATCCATTCTCTTCCTTTTCTCCCCATCTTGCGATTAGCAGAATAGAGTCGGCATTTGCAGCGCCCCCGTGCCTCGCCTTGATGCCACTTGTCTCTCACAGACCTGCGATAACAAGTGCTCTACGGTGCTTTCGAGAGCCTCTTAGAGCGTCCTCTGATTGGCCTTCCACTGGTGCTCTCTCATGCTCCTGAGACTCTCTAGAGCACCTCCAGGGCTCCTTCCGATTGGTCCTAAGTGATTGGCTCGAACGTCCTACGTTCCCAATTATCTTCTGCAAGTTAGCCGCCACTGTTGGCTCCCGTTGGTTCATTTGGACATCGAGCCACAAGCTCCACAAAGCCGGTCAACGGGCACCGGCGAGCGCTAGAATATAGATAGATCCAAGGCTCCTAGTTTGAACGCATTTTAGCTATAACTACAGCCGTGAGCGTGATGGTAACTACAGCGACGACTATAGCGATATAAACAGAGCACTGCAGCGAAAAATACAGTGGCGTGGATTATTGGGGAATATTGCCACCTGCTGATTATAGTGGGCCAACCCTACGCCAACTTCGGATCAGCCGCTGGATCAGCCACTGCGGGGCCAGTGTTCTGCTACTAGGGACAACAGTACTAAAGTCTCTTCACTGTGCAGAGTCATGGTTCGGGGTCGTCTGCGGTTATGACTGGAAGCTGGGATTCTTGCAGATGACTTTGAGTAATTTTCATAAATCTTATGCTACAAAGGTCCCAATTTGAAGTTCTCAGCGGCGGCAATTCGACCACAGTCGCCGTGTCAGCCACCGCGCGGGAGCCAGGAGGCCTGTCGGAGCTCACAACGTGGTTTGTCAAGGCTTTTTATACGGCTTGTCGAACTCGTATATGCGCTTGTGGCCTGGTGTTTTATCATCGTACCACTTGTCCCAGCCCCAAATGGTGAATCCCGGCTCATCGGGAGCGATCTTCTTTGGCCAGCAGCCGTTTTCCCACATGCCGGCATCAACAGGAGGGTTGGTGTCGTGCTCGAACCGTGAGAATGTCCAGTAAGGCTTCACATCGACCGGCACTTTGGCTTGCTGGATAGTGATCTTGGAAGTGTGTGTCTTTTCCTCCCTCACGTCTCTCAGGTGAGCGGGCACGGGGGCAAACCTCCTCTCGAATTCGGCGATCGTCCAGCCTGCGATATGGGGACGAAAGCAGACACCTAACCAATGCCGACCAGTCGCCTGATTCTCCCTCCAGGGCACGTATCTCATCAACTGGCCCCCTTCCTTACCAGCGTCCTGCATTTCTGGGTCGGTGTCACGGAGGAAATAGCGCGGTGGATACTCGTCGACGTCGCACTGGCCCTGCTCATCCCTTGTTCTGACTTTCTCCAGGAGTCGTGGTGTTGTTTATACCATATGTCAACCCCAGGTCGGTTCTCCTCGCTTTGTTTGACTTGACCGTGAACACACTCCAGCACAGCCCAATTCGGATGCCGAGCAATCGCCGAGCTGTAGTGGTAGCATGCCTTGGACCACGCCTTGCTGCAGTTTTGCGACACAGTGGTCGGCGTCGGCCCAAAATCCAGCGACGTGATGACAAGGTCGTCCTTGGTGGTGGTCGTGGTTCTGGCAATGAGATCTGTGTAACATGACTGAGAGCGTAGTGTGTTTTTCGCGCCGCCCAAAATCGTCGTGGACGACTTGGGACTAACTTTGCACTTTTTATCCTTTTCGGATTCCCCCCGAACCAGTACCGTTAGGACTGCTGCCGTTGCCAGCCTTGGGTTTCGATCGATCAGTAGGGTTTGCGTCGTCTCCTTTCTGCCGCTGCCTCTCTGGATGTTTGGAGGTTCCTTGAAGCTAGACACGCCGTCAACAACGGTGCTGAGGACCTCGAACACCCGCTTGACCTCGTCAGGCACAAGGTCGGTGCCGCCACACGAGCTCAGCCACCATTCGAAAGCTCCAATTGGGTCCTGATCGGGCGGGTAGGCGTATGAGAGCGTCTGAACCGCTGTGGTTACGGTGTCTATCCCGGATACGTCAGAACAACCGGCGCAAGACCTTGAGGGCTTTGGGGGATGGATGGGGCCTTGGAAACATGTGTTTGTACATACCTAAGCCGGCGTCCAGGATTCTGCCCACACCAGGAATCGCCGCCAACCCCACGTCGAGCACCAGCTTGAATGCCGACATGACCACATAACACCCGACCTAGTAGCGTTCTGGTATCAGAACAGAGTGGCGCGGACGAAAGGAGTTCTTCGTCGCTTAAGAACATTGAACCCAAGGCTAAAGAAAACTGTAAACATACCTGGGCAATAATAGGCAGGGCTTCGACGATGGTGTCGGCAAGGAAGTTGACCAGCGTGTGGTCGCACACACACTTCCCCGGAACAAAGAGCATGTCCGAGGCGCCGGCTCCAGGCCATAGCGTCCATGGGATCTCCTGGTCCAGCGGGAAGTTGCCCACGCGGCTGTAGTTGGTGGTGCGGCCTTGCTCCTTGGCCTGCTCGACAGCGTCGATACATGCGTCAAGGCACTCGTCCTTGTATCGGTACTTGGGGTACTTCCAGAGGTGGCAGGTCTTCTTGTCCAGGTCGTCGTACTTATCCCGGTCCATTATGCCACCCAGGTTGGTGGGTTCGACCTAGCCATCGTCGTACTCGTCGATAACCGAGGTCGTGCAGGTGTCCGGCGGACAGAATCCGTACTTGCAGGCAAATTTGCAGTGACGTTGGTAATCAACGGAATCGTCCCACGCGATGAAGTCGGCTGTCGACACCACGGCGGGAAGTGGTACAGTAGGCCCTGTAACCCGGCACCTACACGTGCTCTCTGGACAGAACCCTAGTGGCAGGCAAACGCGCACAAGTCGTAGGCGTTCAGATCAGGGCTGTCACCTCCGACACAGCCCTCTTCCCCTGCTGCGGGTCGGTCGGCAGGCACCTCGAAATCTTCGGGGCCGAATGCCTGCAGATCAAGGGCCCAGTCGATTGTGACAGCGAAGTTGCGTCTTCTCCACGCGGCCCGCCTCGTTTCCTTGGTCGTCGGTGTCAGGTAGCTGATGTAGTCGCCTGCCGAGCAAACGAGGTTAGAGTCGTCAAACTCGAGGGAACAGGGTAGGAGCCAACCTCTCCATAAGAGAACATCAACATTGCAACTGTGGTCATGGAAGACCTGTCATTCGCCTGAGCGAATGATCTCGTTGATCTCGGCGTTGGATATATATCCTCTCGTGTCAGTGCATCTTCCTGGATTCGCATCGGACTGCAGTTTGGTGCCCGTGAAGTCGCACAGGGGTCCCCAGCAACCGTCGACAGCCATGCGGAAGGACCTGCCGTAACTCGACTCGCCGACGAAAATTTTGTTGTTGGGCACTCCAGCTTTGGGAACTATGACGAGATAGGTGATGGTTAGGGTAACTGTAACAGGCCGAGAATGACCTGGGCTAGGCCAACGTTGGTGCGCAGATCAAGCACGTACCAACTGCAAGCATGTTGTATGTCTCCGTGAGGTTCACTGAGACGATCAAAGTCAGTTATGGAGACTGCGGTATGCTGTTGGTAGTGGTCTTACCGTGGCTTCTGATGCATTTGCCGGATAGACAAAAATCAAAGGCGTTGGGGTTTCCGTAATCCCACTGTCCATGAAGATCGTAGGTCCTGCGAGACATTAGAAAATGTACTCTGCATAGCCACTTTGAGAGGTTGGATTCATCGAAGACGAAGTCAAGAGGCCGAGTCCAGTCATATCCGGAGATGAAAAGAGAACTCACATGTACACAATGTAGTCAATCACTGCGGCAATCCTGTCAATGGGGAAAGCCTTCAGGTACCAATAAGACGCCGGGGCTGCGATGGAAACCGACTTGGTCGGCAGCTTGCTCTTGAGAACCGTTAAGAACCGGAGATAGGCGACGCCATTCCCTGGCTGACCGATGGGGACACCGTTTACTTCAATGTCAGGCGCCTGCATGTCCCAATATATGTCAGTGTGTCATAGTGTACGCTGGGTAATGACGCAAGAACAACGTGACACCTAAGTGCTCGGTTCGAGAGTTGAGGCGGCTGATGCATCCTCCGAGTCGTGGCACGAAATGTCGCGTCCGCAGATTCACGGCTACGATCTCAACTGCATCTCCACGCTAGGGCCCTCCTCCTTCGTCTCGGGCGGCGACGAGAAGCTCATGCGCGTCTTCACCGAGACGCCCAGAAAAGAATTAAGGAGGACGAGCAACCGAGCTAGGAAATAAGAGAGCAACGCCCTGGACCTACCCCGGGGTACTCCCAGTCAAAATCGATGCCATCAAGACCTTCGTCTATAACGAACTTGGCTGCATTCGTCGCGAACTTCTCTCGGTTGGTAATGATAGCCTGACGGAAAATGTTGTAAGTCGCGGGCTCGGTCGAATAGGCCCAGCCGCCGAAGGACACAATCCGCTTTACACCTTGTAGATTCTTGAAAGCCTGCCATTGGTTATGGGGGTCCTTGAGCACGACGGTCCAAGTTGCGGGGTCGATTTCGGCGAAGCCCCAGTAGATGTGTGTGTACGACCGGTCGGCATTCGCATTCTCGGCCTTCATCCACAAGCACTTGCGAGCCATGTTCCACGACTCATAGTAGCCGATGCGAGAAAAATTGGATGGGGCCCCCAGTTCTGTTTGATCTCCATGCCACAGTTTGAGATGCAGGTGCTTTTGAATTCGGGAAGCTTGGTTCCTGGGCCGCCGCCTTCGGAAGCGTGGATGTCGCAGTGTTCGGGAAAGGGGCCACAAAAACCCCAGTTGCTGCAACAAGCCTTCAAGGGGCAGGGATTGAGGTCTGCCATGGGGATGGACTTGTCGGTCCACTCGGTGCCCGGGACAAGCGGACCACACTGGGTGCCCTGCTGTGGCGGAGGAAGCGGCGGTGTCCCCGTGCTGAGGCACATGTTGTAGCCCGCGAGCATGGCTCTGCATTCAGTCCAGCCCCAGGTCTTGCCCTTGTTGAAGGACTCAATCTGCGCCTCAGTTAGGCCGTATGTCTTGCCCAGCGAGGCGCAAGTGTCGAAGTTTCTGATAAAGTGCACTGCGCAAGAACCATCGGCGTTCGGTTGCGGCGCTTCAGGCTTCGGCTCCGAATACGGGTCGCCTGCAGAGCAGCAGACGTAGTCTCCGGGCTGGAGAGTCGAACATATATCCGACTTGGGGTTGTATCGCAGAAAATCGGCACCGCGAATCCCACATCTAGCCGCAAGAGAAGCACAGCCGTCACCTGCCTCGACTCGGATATGGGCGCAGGTTGCTCGCCCGGCAAGTGCCTGTGCCTTCTGCCACAGATAACTTGCGATCTTGCTCCGTGAGTGTACGGAAACTGCCGTGGCGTTGCTGTAGTTGGTGCGTTGCCAGCGGCGTTGGTGGTCATATTCCCGGCATCCGCCAGGGGCGCCGACGCAATGTCAAACACACTGACGGCGAGTGTCTCTTGCTTCAGAGGACAAGCCAGATCGCTGCCCAGGACGCAGTCACCCTGGCTCCAAGCTACTGCGATCTTCTGGGTTCCGACCAAATCGCCTGTGGTATCGATTGAGATGCCGAAGACAGTTTCAGGCCCCCGCCCATCGCCGCAAATCTGGGCAATGGTGCGGTTGGCCGTCAACTAGTCGTCCTGAAGCCTGCTAGCAACAGCCTGAAGAGCCGATATAGCCGTTTGCTTGCCCAGACCACTGCCAATGTGCATACTAGCAACCGTCTGTCTTTGGTATGCGAACAGGAAGGTTTCGTCGCAGTTGTCTATGGCGGTGAGAAATTCCTTCATGCCGTTCAAAAGGCCCAAGGCTTCACTGCTGGACGCCTTTCCGCCGCTAGTAGCAAGCACCATCTCCCCGGTTGTTTCTCTGCCATCGATGAAACAAGCTGGCGCAGCATTCTTGCTAGGCTCGAGAAGGCCGTCTCCGAGCTTCGGATTGTCGATCGGTGTTGAAGCGGCATTGCTGACTGTTCTGTCGCCCATAGAAGCTGGACTAGTGCCGAGAGTGCAAGCCCGTATAAGAATGTCGGTGTTGAGGTCGTCTAGAGGGAGCAGCACTGAGAAGTGTAGGAGCATGGGCAACTCACAGCGGTGCAAACGGCCGAGAGAGTAGTAAGGCGTCCATTTGTGTACGTTAGCGTAGTCGACATGGCAAGGCAAGGGGCAGTCATGCTGGTCTGGGATGTAGCTGAGAGGATCGGCGATGGGTGAATGATACGGGAATGGAGCCGTATGCTGGGAAAAGAGGGCAAATGCCATGTATTCGGGGAAAAGTCAGGATGTCCTCCTCTGGTAGTTGCAAGCAGCAACTGCAGTGGTGGGAGATATCCCACGATCCAGAGTGGGGAAGCCTTATCTTATCTACATACAAACAACCACCCCACCAATGGTGGGGTATAACACCTAGCCCTAACCCTGCGCGATACCTTCCGGTATCAGTGAAGGGTCGTCCTCTGAAACCGGATGTACGACCCTATGGCCGTATAGGTCGACAGCGCCTTGCACCAACGTAGCCACCGCCGAGAACGAAGAGCTTGATAGACTTCATCCTCGACCTTAACGGCCGGTGGTGAGAAAGAGAGCCTGGCAGAAGGTACAAACAAGCAGAGCGGTTCTGACGCCAGGAACCGAGTTGGGAACTGGAGGCTTCAATGATGGACTCTGAACACCATTCCAAGCTTCCGCTACAAATGTAAGATCTCCCGTCAGTTTAAGGGCAAAGAATTCGCGCAAACAGAAAGTGATGGTAAGGGATTGAGCATCGTTCACCGGGGCAGGTGACATCCAGGTGCTGGGACTCGGGAGGGATCGTCCCGTGGCGGCGCATCGGCCGTGCCGCCACCGCCATGTACCTGCAGCTGTACGGGATGTACCGACGGGGGTATAGGGTCGGATCAGGAACGACTCGCCCGAGAACTTCACAGTTGGTTGAGATACGAAGTGCATGAGATCCGTTCTTAGCTTTGCTACATACGTACAGGTCCTTGATTAGCCTCAGTTACACACAGTCGGGAAGAGTTCTCGACCAGGGCCCTCCGCACAGCTTCTAGCCATTCCGTCTTGCGGTAAGCTGCTAAGTCGGGCCAGCCATGTTGCCGGTAAATTTCCTTCAACATGGACATCATGCCGACCTCAGTCCAGCGTTCTTTGCTGCCACGCACCGTGTAGGGACTGATGGGAACCCAGTTCAAAGTCCTGAACTCGTCCTTGAGGACCTCGAAGAAGTCAGGGATTGCCCACGCGGAGGCGCTGTATCGCCAGTCTTTTTCTGTCTGGGACACCACATCATCCAAGTCATCAAGATCCAATCGATCCTTTTTCAGTTCCTCCCAATCGACTCGAGCTCGATTCCTCCCGACTTCATAGGGGCGGGTGCAATCCTCCCAGTGGATGATGTCGAGCTCTGTGTCGAGCAAGATGACAGGGCTGTCCTCCTGGTCAGCGTGCGACAGGCCGATGACATGAGGGAGCGAAAGGTCGCGAAGCGGGAATCCCTCAGTGTAATCGCGCACGGATTCGACCTTGCTTCCACCCCGGTCGAGCGTTTCGAAAAGGTATGACCAGTCTTCAAAAGAGCAGCGAGGGACAGCATCCGCCTCGTAGTTCCAGTCACCGGGGCAACGGATGTAGGGCAAGTGGGCCAGCAGCGACAACACCTCGTCCGACTTGCCCAGGTCTTGCAGCTTGCCGGGGTCGGCATTGACGATGGATGGCCAGCCCTCGGTGGGCGGGTAAATGACCTGGGACTCGTTCATGTACATCCGAGTGAGGAAGGTGTAGTAATCGGTTATGGTGGCAATCGTGGCCTCGCGGGAATAGCTGACTTCCTCCGAGTCGGACATCCTGGGCAGCTAAGTTCCACAAGGAACCTCGGGCTGGTGGAAACTGGGAAGTGAGGACTGTTGGTACTTCGTAGCAATGAAATTAACAGCGTCGTCGGAACTGGGAAACTTCGCGAGGGCCTCAGGGTGGATGGATGGATGGATGGATGGAATTTATTTCGCCCGGAGGCACGAAGCCTATGGGGCCTTGGCACGCTAACTACATCCAATTC